TGAGATGGACTAACCTACTCTGTAGAAACCCAGGAACCAAGCTGCTACATGGTGGATTGGGTGTTCCTCTTCAAGTAAGAACCTGACCTGAGCACCCTGGGTCTGGCAGAAAATGGGAGAGAAGTACTGAGAAAATCTCATACACTCACCCCCCCACACCCCGACACACACACAGTGTTCTAATCCGTGAGTGACAACACTGTTCCAGTCCCCTCGTTAGGCTAACAGAAGCCATCTCAAGCCAAGGGTTCAGGGCTTTATTTATTTAGAAAATCTGGGGCATGTTCTTAAAAAGCAAAAAGTGAAAAGGTAACAGCATCATACTCCAATTAAACAGGCAGTTCTTTGTTTAGGGAAGAAAGTTCCCAGGCTGAAGGACAGGGGAGTACTCAGCTACAAATCAAATACTTTGGGGGACAGATGATGAGGGAAAGTTACAGCCTCCAGGTCAAGGCACCTGCAGCTGCTGAGTATCTGTGGGGGGCAACTATTAATTATTTTCTAGTTTCATTTATATTCTTGTCTCTAAGCTACTGACCTCTAACTAGATATTTCCCAGACTACTTTCTTATCTTCTCTGCTGAACATTCCAATCTCCTTTGGCCAGAGTAGGTGTGCATTGCAACAGGGAAGCTGAAACTCAGGGCCATAACCCTCTGGAGATTTTAGGGGGCAATTCCAGCCTACTCTAGCTTTCACCTACACTATTTCTTAGCTGCAATTCAAGTTTGCTTCAGCACCATTTGCAATGAACTCCAGTCTGCTATCTTATGGACTTAATATTTTTGCTTTTGTTTTTGTTTTTCCTTTGTGTTTATTTTGTTTCCTTCCAACTAAGCAAAACAGAACAAAGGAACAAAAGAAGTTCTGGATCAATCAGAACAAGTTTATCCATTTTCTACCTTCACAACACATTATGAAATTCAATAAATGAAATTAGATAATTTACCCGTATATATCACATTATTTCCTTTATAATAAGTAAAATAAGATAATTTATCTGTTTATATACTTACTATTTTGTTATTGTTGCACTACCACTGGTATTATTAGGTCCTCTCTATGGATCTATGAGCTCCAGGAAAGCAAGTACCATCTTCATATCACGAGCCAATGAATTATTCTGGCACATAAGCAAATGTTCAGCAAATACTCATTATCAGTAAATAAATTACTACATAATCAATTATGTTTACCTGTTGGGATCAGTTAGGTAGTTCTTGGTCAAAGGCTCTAAGGCAGTTAGAATGGGGTGGTGATTGGGTTTATTATGTCAAAGCTTTTCTCATTCACACATGTGGCTGTGGATTGTGGCTGTTGCCTGAATCTCAGCAGGTTGGCAAGGGTGGTTTTTCCAAAAGGATTATTTTTCAAATATTAAAGTAGGAACACAAAATGATTGTCAGTGTTTAGGAGGTAACCCACTGATAGAGCTGGAACCCAAGTAGGAGCTTCCAGGTTTATGAAACCAATTGCACTCTTTATGTCAACATTACGATCAGGCCCTTACAAAATACCCATTGAGAAATTACCATCAAAATGCACTTTGGATTTGTTCTTTGCCCTTCATGGAAAATTTTTAGTGTTTTGTGCACAGTTAAAAATTCCCAGGCAAAGTCATTCAAATAAGCATAATTACTGAAAGTAATTTCAATTCTGACTGAAATTTCTCCTCAGATAACTTGTTTTGGTCATAAATTCATGATTAAATATTTTTATATGTAAGTACTGACTTTCAGGCTCAAAACAGAAAAGTCAATATCTAATTATTACCACTTCATTTCAATTTGTTGTTTAGTGCTAAATGAAGTGACGAATATTGGATTATTTAAATTGAAAATTACTTTATAGGACCAGATATGATGGGTCACATGCCTATAATTCAAGGCACTCTGAGAGGCCGAGTCAAGAGGATCACTTGTGCTCAGGAGTAAGAGACCAGCCTGAGTAAGAGTGAGACACTATCTCTACTAAAAATAAAAAGAAAAACTAGCTGGGCTCATGGCAGGTGCCTGTAGTCCCAGCTATAGACAAGAGGATCTCTGGAACCTTGGAGTATGAGGTTACTGTAAGCTATGATGATGCCACTGTACTCTGCCCAGGGGGACAGAGTGAGACTCTGTCTCAAAAAAAGAAAAAAGGAAAGAAAGTTATTTTATAGGTTAGATGATTTTGCCAAAAAGGCAATGGAAGGGTGGGTTGAATTAATTATGTATTTATTATTTATTTTGAGACCGAGTCTAACTCCATCACCCTGGGGTCAAATGCTATGCCATCATCACAGCTCACAGCAACCTCAAATTCCTGGGTTCCAGAGATATTCTTTCCTCAGGTTCCTGAGTAGCTGGGACTATAGGTGTCTGCCACCATGCTGGACTAAGAGACTAGGGGTCTTTCGCAGGCTGGTCTCAACTTCCAGTACTCAGACAATCCACCTGCCTCAGCCTCCCAGAGTGCTAGGATTACATGTGTGACCCACCATGCCCAGCCTTTGAAAATATGTTTATTCTAGGGAATGGACCTTATTTTTGAGAAGGAAACAAAGCTGAAATTACTTTTATAATAAATAATAAATGAACAAAGATCTGGGTGTTTTGGAAGCTTCCTGGGAGTGACAAGTCAGAAAATAAGAAAAGATCATGAGGAAGATGAGTGGCCAGTGTTTAGGAAAACTGAAGTTCACAGGGTAGTTTATCCAGAATCAGCTCTATTTTCTTTTTTTAATCAATGACTTTTATTGAGGGGTTCACTTAGACTTTCCTCCTCTACCAATCAGAACCAAAATACTGAGTAGGTAATCACACTTTGAACAGATCATCTAAGAGAGAACACTGGAATTCAATTAGAGAAATGACAGGAAACATCTAAACCAAAGAAGGAAAGGGAAGCCAGTCAGCCTGCTCTGACTGGAATCAGTTGGGGGCCTGGACCAGGCTGATAATCCCTGTCATCCCTAAAAGGGAGACAGACCCATAACAGTCCACATTCCCACCACAGACTCCCTATCTAACCACAGGAGAGCCTCTCAACCCTCAGGAGCCCTGAGACTATCATGGAGAACTTCCTGGAGACCATGTGATGGCATTGCTCCAGAGAGGGACTCACTCTGAGTCCCATGCACCCACTGACTCCTAAGCACCTCAGCACACCATTCTGAGAGCCCATACCCCCAGACTGCATCCTGCCTTGGAGTTGAATAGCCCCTGCCTCTCCATATGCCTGGAGACCCATTGATACTCAGCTGGATGCTGCTGCCAGTTGCCAAAGTGTGAGCCATTGGCCGTGACTCCACTATCCATGCATTCTCATATGCCCCAAGGACAAACCTCACCTCCCCAGTTGCAGGGCCACAGTATAGCTTATGCTACCCGAACTTGAGCATTTACACTAGGCGTGGAGATCACCTTACCCCTGCCTGCCATACAC